AGCTTCGAAGTGGATCATGTGAGCTATAGTCTAAACTCCTAGTATCCCCCTTAATAACCCCTAGAGTAGTCCCCTATATAATCCCCTATATAACCCCCATTAAGGAGTTTAGACTATAGCTCCTGTAGGATACATAGGGTCACATCGGGATATGAAGAGGCATATAGGGTTTTTTGGCATTTTAATGGAAACTCAAACGGAAGCTGGAATGGAAAGTGGGATTCAAGAGAGGCTTATTGGGTTTAGGGTAACTGAGTAGACATATGCGGGTTCCGCTTGCGTGGCCTCATAGTAATTATGCTGTCATACTGGAGCCTTTGCACTGAAGGTGTTGCGATTCCCAGGCCTCAATCAACCCTGACATGGAGATCCAGGATGGTTCCAAAAAAGTGGTGGTGCACAAAATACCCGAAACCCTAACCCCAATTCCTAGACCCTAAACCCTAAAATCATGCCATCCTCGGCTCCCAAAAAAAATTGGCGCCTGATTTATGGAAACCTGCACATCTGATAGCCACAACAGACCCAACCAACGGCTTATCCCCGTAGATAGAATATGGCTTTGGGTATATCATAATAAGATCCCCATAGACCCCATATTCTATCTACTTAAGGGGGACTATACCCCTGAGGTTGAGTGGCTACCTTTCTTGAAGTCTGCATGACAGGACAGTCCTGCAGCTACCTCGCCCCAAATTCGCAAAGAAATCCCTACAGCACCCCTTTCATAAAAAAGGTCTGCGGTCTTTGTAGAGCCTCGTTTTGGGGGTTCCTTGGGTGGATCTCTTCCCCAGACTACGCGCGGGAAAACAGCTGGTTCCAGGGGCCCCAAAAGAGGACTCCAGACTACTGCCTTGTACCAGGAAGGTATACCGGTATCCAGGTCAAATCCCTACACCCAAACCCTAAACCCAAAGCTCAGACAAACAATAAAATTCCCATTCGGGGTGGCTAGGATGACATGCCACTGACAACTGAAGCCTCCTGCCAGGTCTGGGGCACAGCGATGTCAGCTCGCAGAACCTCGCAGAGGACTTGCGAGGATATTTTCACAGGGAGGCATAGAGTTATATGGAGATGCTATAGGGGCTACAGATAGTTAGTAGAGAGGACCAGGGGCAAAAGGTCGGGAGACCCTTCTTTTTGGGGTCGATGGCGTCTTGGGAAAGTTTCTGATGTACATAAGTTTTAGGGTTTAAGGGACGGCTGCAAGGCGTCAAAGAGCCAGCGCACGCCCTGAAGTCTAGAAAATAATCACATTGGCAGCAGGTTTGGGTTAGCCCCTAAGTAGCAACTAAACCATCACAGGAGATGAATCTCCTACGCCTTTTAAATAGAACCAAAACCCTAAACCCTAAACCCTAAACCCAAAAATCAGTGCTCCAGTCTGAGACGTTTCCTTGTACAAAACTAGGCTTCGGATCCCTCAGCAATGATGGAAAAGAAAATGGAAACTACCATTTAGGGTTTAGGGTTTAGGGTTTAGGGTTTAGGGGGTTAGGGGTTATATAGGGATAATGGAAAAGAAAATGGAAACTACCATTTAGGGTTTAGGGTTTTGGGTTATAGAATTTAGATCTTAGTTAGGGAATTTGGAACCTCACCACCTAAGGTTACAAGCATTCAGAGCCCTAAACCCTAAACCCTAATGCCTAAACCCTAAACCCTAATCGCAAAACCCTAAACCCTAAACCCTATACCTTAAACCCTAAATCCTAAGCCCTAAACCCTGAACCCAAGTCTCTGATCCAGTGAAGGGGCAGGGCACTGCTCGAAGAGCTCATGCTGCGCCAGGTATGCAGTCTGTGAAGCGGCTCCCGCGCAGCTAGGAGCCAGGTATTCCTAGGGTTTAGGGTTTAGGGCTTAGGGTTTAGGGTTTAGGGCTTAGGGTTTAGGGCTTAGGGTTTAGGGCTTAGGGTTTAGGGTTTAGGGTAGGAAAAGAAAATGGAAACTACCATGTTCTATACAAGGGTCTTTTACGCCCTGGGCCAAATTAAGAGGGATACCTCTTCTATAGCCCCAAAACCCTGGATCCTAAACACTGAACAGGTGATCATGATTCATTCTATATATATATATATACATACATATATATATATACACCTATACATATATATATATACATATCTTTATATGTATCCCGGCGCCCTGGCTACGACCTGGTTTTCTTTCTACGTACTTTCGGCCAGTTCTCCTCCAGGAAGCGGCTGAAGGGCATCAGCTCCTCCTGGCCCAACAATCTAATAGTGCCATCGTTGGGGGTTTAGGGTTTCAGGGTTTCAGGGTTTAGGGTTTTAGGGTTTAGGGCTTCAGGGTTAATAGTGCAGGTTATACGTAAATACATTGCCCCAATACTGCAAAATCAAATGGGAAGGCAACGGGAAAATGAAAAGGAGCCTGAGATCATAGAATAAACTGTGCTAGGTAATAAGCGGAGTTTAGCTACAACAACCCCCATGATAAAGGACCCGATAATTAACGATCATATGACTATCATGCGGTACTAGTTGTAAGTGTAGGGTACGTAGAACCTCGTTATTAACATCATGAAACAGCAGGGAACGCAACAAACCCCTGAAGTAAGAGGTTAGCGGAAAGCTGCAAATTTAGGTGGGATAGGCCGTAATTGACAGTGATTTGCCAACGTTTTGTGGAAATCCGAAATGTTTGAGAGGAATATTGCTGAACTCAAGGTTTCCGGAAGTTCTAGGCCGGGAAGCGTGGATGTGAGGGGAGGTTACATTGGGTTTATATAGCGGTTCTATTGGGGAGAGTGGGAATATAATGGGTTTCCACAGCAAGGCTTCCGATGGAATCACAAACTGCCTATTGAAGTTTCACCCCTTTACCGGCAAGCACGTCTGGACTGTTCGGAACATTTTCATGGAGTTCTACTGAGACGGGCTGCAGGGACAGAGCAGAAGGGGGGAGGGGGGGAGGGTTCAGGAGCTCAACATCTGGGGGGTGACTGCCGCATTGTCGGAGATGTGAAAAAGCCCCCTTTGATTTTCTTACTGGTTCGTAGGTGGTAAGGGAATATAATGCCCATTATAATTCTTATATAACATATTCCCATATTCCCTACTAACCATAAGTAAGTCTACCTTGCGAGCCTATGCTCTTGTGCCAGCCCCGCAAACAACACTTCGGTTCATTGGGTTTTGGGATTGCCTTGTCTACTTCTCCGTCACCATCCGAATGGCCACTACCCGCAGCCAACGGAGGTCCAGCAACACCGCGCGGATATGGAGGTTTGCCCAAAATTAGGGGTACTTTTTTGGTGGATTCCCATAGAAAGGAGTACAGTATATTGGGGTCTATGTTGGGGTCCCCTTATTTTGGGAAACTACCATATCTGCATGTCCACATTCACATGTAACAGCAAAGCACTATGCCAGGTGTCACCATGAATAAGGTTTAGAGCGCTAGACTCAGCGAGGGCAAGCGTGGGGTAAAACAGGCATGGCCTAGCAAGAGATTTTCAAGCATCGAGACAAATGACCGGTTGCTGTAGAGATGACATGGCCTCTCTTGTTGCTAGAGCTTCTAGACTTCAGCACTTCCGGATGGTCAAACGGAAAGGAAGGTGGAAGATCAAATGGAAACTGTAAGTGCGGAGGGGTTCATAGGGTTTATGGCTATTTGGAGGTTTAGTTTAACCCAAATTTTACCATATCGGGAGACTTGGGGCTCATACTTGGGTTATGGGTACTCTGTAGCTCATAAGTATCTCTCTTACTCGAGGCGGGCTTCCTTCCAGTTCTCCCCACCCACATCGCTGCCGATCTCAGTTGGTACCAGTCTATGGCCCACCTGGCGGAAAGCCCAAAGCCAAAGGTTTAGGGTTTAGGGGTCTGGGAGTACGGGGTTTAAGGTTTAAGGTCCAGGATTTAGGGCTTAGGGTTGAGGGTTTCGGCTGTTAGGATTTAGGGGAACTAGCCATTTACCTCAAAAAATGGAGATTCACATGGACAAAAAAGAAGGCCATGAGGCGCAAACGGTGATTCACATAGGGATTGGTGCGCAATTCCTGTTCACACCATCATTTGAGGTGAAGTAGGGTTTCGGGTCTAAGTTTTAGCAAATTGCCAGCATGTTATGCCATTGCAAAGTCTGAAGCCCATGGGGGTTTCCCAAAATTAGGGTAGGGGCACCATTTTTGGAGGTCCCTAGCACAAGGATCAAGGGGTGAAACAAATTGAAGCCCCTCTTCATGGCAACTACCATATGAGCGAAAGCCGAAACTTCGAGCATCCCCCTCAACATCCCCTGTACAACTCCCCTGTATAATCCTATATGCAAGCCCCCTTTAAAGAGTTTAGAGTATAGCTCATATGGGGTTTCTCAAAATAGGGATCCCTTAGGAAGCCCCTCAGGCCTCATGGGGATTCTACGGGGATTACGGGGTCCTGATTAATTCTGATCTAGGGCTTATCCAGGGAAACTCCCAGCACAGTGTTACCGAGCCGGGACTCAACCCAATAATCAACCTTAAACCCTAAAGCCTAAATTTCTGAAGGATACTCAGATTCAACCCAATCATCAACCTTAATTAAACCCTAAACCCTAAATTTCTGAAGGATACTCAAAGCCTGGTGCTCCAAGTAATCCAACATCTTCCAACGTGTTCGCGCAGGCCATGCTTCCAGCGCTCCAGGGAAGAAAAAAGGTTGCCTCAAGCTACTTAGAGCCCGCAAAAGGTATATTCCCCAATTTGAATTCTTCCTTTCTTAAAGGAATGTTGGGCTTGCTGGGTGGTACGATTTAGGGTCTAGGTGCAGGGTTAAGGATTTAGGGTTTAGGATCTAGGGTTTAGAATTAGGGCTTGGGGCTCAGGACCTAGGCTTAGGTCTGGGCAGGAAGATGTCTCCTACATCAGCACTAAGTCAGTACCCTAAACTCGAAACCCAAAACCCTAAACCCTAAACCCCTGAGGGATCATGCTTTGGGCTTCTGATTCTTCCGGGTAGCCGGCTCCAGCTGCATCGGCCAGGACTCTTGACTCATCCCCTCCCCTCACATTCAAGGCACCGAATACTCAATGTAGTACCATTATATATAAACATATACATATACATAATTTTTAAAAGACGACATATTTAGGGAAGGGGGTGGTTATTACGGGGATTAATCACTAGTCGGTTTAAGGGTTTGAGCTGAACTTATGAGATGTCTCAGTCACATTGGAATATATGGCAGTTTCGCAAAAGAGGAGGACCCCAATAAGGACCCCAACCTCATCCGAAGACTAGATTAACAAAACGGGACCATACTTAAAGAAAATTGTTGGGTAAACTTAGCCACCAAAGACTAGCTACAATTAGATGGTTTTTCGCATGGGAAACGGGGCCAGATTTGAAGAACAATGTTGAGGAACCTATCCCGAGAATAGAGGTATTCAATACATTCCTATTCATTTTTAAGTAATAGAGGTCCAAGAGCCCCAATGACGCAGGAATGCATTCCTATTCAATCTTTTCAATCTTAATTGAGTTCCAGGAGCCCCAATCATTCTTTAATCCGGCGCCCTCCATTTCTTATTCTGGCGGGAGGGGAGGGGGGGCCCAAATTCATCCGGTGCTGATACTATATTCCTCGTTTATGGGGACCCCCACCCTTAACCTAAACCCATCCCTAATTTGGGAAAACCCCGTATGATTCTCGAAAGTGGTCCATGGCCTTTCCCCTCGTGGTCTTCGTATGGGGTTCCGAAAACAAGGATCCGCCTAAGATACTTCAAAATTCTCCGAATCATCCGTATAATTCAATAAAGACCCGGAACCACTGATTTTTTGGAAACACTCCTATGACCACGGACACCACAAGGACCTTTGCTGCTTTGCTGAGCAAAGTTTCGACTGGGTCAGCAGCTCTTTCAACTTGTCGATGCCGGGCTCCCCAGCCAGTCGGCTCAGTCGCTGCATCCGTGCGCCAACAGGATCGCCCTCTGGCGCACAGGTGCTAGGGAAGTGGCCCAGCTCAAGAGGCTTCGTCTCCTCCGCAATTCAAGCTCTTCAGAGACATGTTCTGCTTGGTGGATCGGATGTCACAAGCATTCGCTTATACCCACGTTAATGTGAAGTCCCCGCTATGCAGAAACAACTTGCTTCAGAGGTATGGTTGGGACCTTCTTCGCAAACAGGAGTTTTCAAGGCCGAATTCCAGAGTACCTTGGGCTTCCCTGTCTTAGTCCTGGAGCTGTCCTGTTGATGCATATTGGTCTAGGCACTTTTTAATTCTGGACCTAACAACCTGCAGACAATACAAGCAGCACAAACTCATAGGAAGGATGGAAAGCCTCTAGCTAATGCTGAGCTCCCTTCGATCCTTAGCATTCCGCGCAGCCCGAACGTCGTCATCGAGCAGACGTACGAAGAGGAGGGCGCAGGATCTAAACGGTCCAGCAGGAGCAAAAACAAAAGCCCCGTCAGCATGCCTCCTGAGCTGAGCTTCAGAGCTTCTGGAAGCGGCCCTTGGGCCAAAGGCACAGAGAGTTCCATCAGGTTCACAGGCCATTGTGGGGCTTGGCTGGGGTTTTCTGGATCACTTGCTCAGGCATCGTTACATGGCAGAAGGACCAGACATCTAGGGTGCATACTTTACCTTCCGATGGGAAATGAGGAACCGCTACCCAAACGCAAGCCGGCTGCAACGCCACAAGACCGTCGCCAGAGGCGTGGGAGCACAGTGCAAGCAGCAGCTCAACCAGCATGAAGAGCTCCTTGTCACAGGGTCCTGAGTCCAGCAAGCAACAGGAACACCCTCCCACAAACAAAAACCCCTCCCACGCCTGGAACTAAGGGAATGCGCATCTGCCTCCTATGGGAATATATAATATGCCC